CATTGAAGGCTCATGTTCATCTTGTGGTCAGTCATGACCCCCAAGTCCTTTTCATCCATAGTGCTAGCCAGCCTGGCACTGCCGAGCCTATAAGGATGCTGCAGGTTTTTCCTCCCAAGGTGGAGAACCTTGCATTTTTCGGTGTTAAAGTCTTGCCCTGAGCTAGAAGAGTCCTTCTCAACTGGGAAGAGGGGCAAGTCCTGTTCTCATTTACAATCCCTGTAACAATGTAGCAACTTCACTGAAGCTGCCAGGGATTTGACCTTGTCTGGTGAGAGGAACACTTGGCCAGCTGATCTTTCAGTGACAAAAGCCAGTAGAAAAAAAACAAAACAACACAACATGAAACCAACAGCAGGTCATGAAAGATGCACTATAAGTAATACAGCTACTGCTCACAGACAGGATCTGTGCTAAATGGATGATTGTCATGTCCTTCCTAACAAGCTTGAGATAGGGCTAACTCAGGTGGCGCACTTCCTCACGTTCCCCCCGGAAATATCTGGAACACGCGAAGCGCAACTGCTCTAACCCCCTGCCCGCCTGCGCGGACCCATAGCAGGTGGTAGCCACGAGACAGACTGCAGGGTCTCTCTCCAATAACACGCTCATGAAACAGCAGGCACCAAAGAGTAGAAAATACACCAGAACACGCAACGTGCAGACTGCACCAGCCCAGCACGTCAGACCGGGCTGGCGCCAGGCCGGCACCCTCTTCTGGGAAAGGGGTGGCGAGAGCTTAGCTTATACAGGCAGGCAATCATCTTCCCAGCCCCCCCCATCTGTTAGGGCTGGGTCATGCCCATTAGCAAGCAGGATTTGTACTACTTAAAATACAATTCATCTGTTATCAGTATAGACAGTTAATTTTGGGGGGCGGTTTTTGGCTCCTGGCCTCAGATTAATGCACAGACCTGTTGTGTAAAACTACTTCCCCTTCCTGGTTTTAAAATTTATTACATTTTGATTTCCTGGCTCATTTTGTTTGCTCTCTCAATATACTCATGTTTGAGTAAAGTCTGTCCTTTTTCCAAGAGCTGCCCCAATCTTTTCTGCTTCTTTCTTCATCTCCGAGACAAGGCCCCCCCCAGGTATCCAGCTCTAAGCTCCCAACCTCCTTTCAAAGGAGTCAGAGAGCATTCTGGCTGGCAGGTTACATTTTCATTATAACATTTAAGGCTTCCTAATGCTTTTCTGACAAGGAATAGGGAAATGCAGCGTCAGAAGTTGCAACTGAGAAAAATTACTCAAGTCATGAACACGAAGCCCTATCTCCATCTGCCTCCTCCACCTACTCTACTGCTAGGTCAAGCAGCCCAAAATTTGTTACCTCTCCAACTCAGCACAAATTAGGCCAGTTGCAGCAAAGAGCAGCCCAACCTCATGAGGGGAAGAGCGTGCCTTAGGTCACTCACCAACAGCAGCCATCTTTCCTCGGGGTAGATTTGCCTCTTTGACACACCGTCCCCTCCAATAGGCAGAGAGAATGGCTTCTTCGTGACTGAAGGAGTCGTCAGCATAGCCACAGGCCACCTCTCCCACCGAGTGCCCGATGATCCCATCGGGCTGGAGGCCCATAGACTTCAACATGTCGATCTGTGCCACCTACGAGACAGAGCAGGGGGCTCTATTCCAGGCCACCCCAACCAGAGCTGTACCTATGGGGGGCACCTTCACGCTGCTATCTGGGCTTCCCTGCACCATTTCTTCCGCCTTCTTGCTGCTGCTTCCCCCCTCCCCTCCCCCCAACAGAGCTCTGGCCTTCAAATCTTGGAGAAGTGCAAGCATGACCTTCTGCCACACTCCCAGTTTTCTTCAATCCTTTTCATTGTTCCCTCATTTCTACTGCAGCAGGTGATCACTAAAACTAAATACTTATCCACATTGTGACATGCAAAGAAATTCATCCAAATTACATAAAAGCATGAGTCACTACACTACATTAAAACTGTGTGGACACTCATTTAGCACTTGAGCGGCATTTAGGAGACAGTTTACTATGAAAGTTGGAGTAAGGCCACTTTAACACTTGTACTACCAACATCTACACAAAGCTTTGACCCAGCTTCACTAACCCACAATAAAAAGAATTAATGCACATTAAACTTTGCAGTGTAGACAAGCCCCAAAAACATGCAAACAGCATGCATGTGCGCAGCAGGCCTCTGAACCATGCAATGCAGAGGGCAGGATGAAAGCTGGCTGCCTACTTCTGGAGGAACGACGCAATAAGGCTATACCGACACTGGCACTTTGCTCCTGCAGAGCAATGCTAGTAAAGAGCCCCAGCTCCCCGTCTTACCTGAACCGCAGAGACTGCAACAAACGAGCAGATAGCATCATCAAACATGCTCTCGTCACCATGCAGAATGATGTCAGAGACCTTCAGCCCAGTGCCCTTCAGGATCTCATCCGAGCGCAAGATGGACTGTCGGAACAGCTCCAGCTGCATCAGGCTCCTGCCCATCCCTGCCCACTGCGTGCCCATGCCTGCAGGAAGAGCAACAAGAGCCTGATTCTTGCTCCACTTCAGAGTGGACCAGGAAAGCATGGGAGCCCCGTCTCAGATGCTTGGCTTCCAGTCCTCATGGAACAAGGCTCTGCTCCTCCTTGGTCTTGCTACCACAGGGAAGCAAACAGCACTGAAGAGGGGACTTCCAGCAGAGCTGGTCACAAACAGTGGATCTTGAATAGCCTCCCTTGCCACGTGGCAACCCCCAGACTGTACATGCAAGCGGAATGAGGAACAAAATGTGGCATCAATAACTACCGAGAGCCTGGCTGCGCAGAAGCCAGCAAACCTTGACACCCTTCCCCCCCCCAAAAAAGTTACCTGTGCAGATGTACCAGAGGGGCCTCCCCGATGCCTGGATTTGCTGCACCTCTTTCACATCGCTCTCACTGCCAACGAGCCTGTAGCCCCGGTACGGCATAGAGGAAGCAGGGATTGTGGACAAATCATTGAGTAGGCTCACAAATGAGTCATCTTCCCCCAGTCTCTTGCTCCGGTCCAGTAGCTTCTCCACGGCTTCTTGTGTCCTGCCAAAGACTTGGAGCAGTCGTGGCAAACGACGTGCCTCCAGAGGCTGGGACTTCTTCTTGTCATGTGGCCTCAGGATGACATGGACATTGGAACCACCAAAGCCAAAAGAATTGATACCGACTAGGCCACCTTTCACTGGGGTTGGCTTACAGACCACCTGTAAGCTGCCATCTTGTAAGGCAGGAATGTCTGGGTTTGGGGTGTTGTAATGCAGGTTTGGAGCCCACACCCCATTTTCCAGAGAGAGAATCACCTGAAAGACAACAGCATAGTCCAGGCTTTAGATCCCTTGTTTTGCCAGATGCTTGTTGGTTTTGTTCGGCATAGGACCCAAGACACAGGGTACTTCTTAGCAGTTGAATTTCAACAGCTTCCTCTGTCACTAGGTCAGATACCACAGCGCTTAGCAGCTGGGTATCATTCCCAAGGATAGTAAAAGCTAAGGCACAGGGAGGAAAAAGCAACTCCATACCAGAGCAGAGCTGGTAGGAGGATGCTAGTCATGGTTCCCCAGCTGTTTCTAGACAAACTGCAGGAGGCCAGACCACAAGACAAGGCAGGAGCAATGTGGAACAACCATGCAACAGCAGTGACACACAAGGTGGTGGGAGCAGGCCCAGATCGTCCACAATTCCAGACACTTCCTGTACTGCAGAGTGTCTGTCACGTCATCTAGCATGCCCGTTTTCATCTAGAGGGAACTGGGCAGTTTTCAGGTATCATATCTGCAAAGGAAGCTTTCCCAGTGCGACCTGAGCACAAGCCCTGAGGGGGGTGCATCTCCCTTGGCCAGAAACATTGGCTTGGAGACTTCCTGCTGCTTCTGCATACATGGCAACAGAGTTGTCATGAGTGGGCTTCATGGTGAAAACTAGCCCTCTGCTGTGTAGCAACATTTAACTGATCAGCATTGGATGCCACATTAGATATTAAGGCTGGCTGTAGGGCAGCAAGTTCAAATCTGCACCCACGTCTCAAAAGTAAGTTACCTAACCCCTTCCCCTGTTAAAAGGGAAGGAAAGACACATCCTTTATCCACTGCCAAGGGTTCCAGCTGCTTTAACACCAAGAGCTCAGGCCTGCATCCCACCCTTCCTAGGTGACCTGGTGTCCCAAACTTTGGGAACCTTCAGCGCCCCAGGTACTGCACCCAAAAGCAGCTTTGTACCAACGGGAAGACTTATGGCAGCAGATGGCAATTTTGATATCAGTCACCATTAAGAAATGCAGTGGGGTCACGGGTCCATTCCATATGCCCTGCTTTTGAGTGCGATTCAAGTTTCCTCAGAATCCAGACCAAGGAAGACAGACCCAGGGGCCCCGAAACTGTGCCTCCCCTTTGACACAGAGCATTCAGAGCCCGGGTGGATGCTGACAGCCGAGGCCGGGGCAGCACCAGTAGCCCCAGGCCTACCTAGTAGGTTGGTTCTATGCCAGTGTGTTACCTTGAGTAATGCAGCAAGCCCAGAAGCAGGTTCGGGGTGACCCATGTTGGATTTAGTGGATCCAACCAACAACGGCTCTCGTCTACCTTGACACAAGACTTTTGCGATGGCATTCACCTCTTGTGGATCCCCAGCCTGGCAGGGGAAGAAAAAAGAAGAAATCACACAGCAGTTTTATGCTGACCACGCAGAACACCCCAGTAGCAGAACCACCCCAGTCTCACATTCCCGGCAAGGTCTTTTAGATAAAATTGCAGGTGGTAAAAGGAGATGAAGGGGCAGGTGCTCCAGCAACAGGCAGAAATGGGCAATCAAGTTCTTTCTAATCTGAAAGAAAGGACTGATGGGTGTGAAACAGAGGCAAAGAGAGAGACAGGACAGGAAAGAAAAGCAAGAGCGAGAGTGAGAAGGCTTGCAGAGGTTACACCCACCTTGGTGCCTGTGCCATGAGCTTCTACATACTCCACCTCTTCAGGCAGAATCCCAGACTCTGTATACAGAGAGCTGAGCAACTGCTGATGCATTTTTCCAGAAGGAAATGTTAGACCTGGGACAAAACACAAACAGAAAACCCCACCATTGGTTACCCACTCCCATCTGAGGCAGAACATCAGCAGCCTCATCACTACTGAGGACAACTCAGTCTCCTCAGGAAGCACCCGTGTGCGTCTTCCACCTTCAGAGCACAGCAGCTTGACAAGCCCTTGCGAAAGGGGACGTGGAAGATAGATAAATCCCTAGATTGGCACGTGCATCTAAGAAACAGAGTTCCCTCTCTTTCCGCAGCTAACGAGCAGGACCCATGCAACTTCCCAGGCATCTCCTCCCCTACTGTGACAAGGCCTGGACAGCTTGACTTCTCAGGATGAAGTGAGGAGAGTAGAGCAGCTCAGGTGGATGCTCCCCTGTGCTTCAATTCTGACAGCAGGACAACAATCACACACCACTCCTTGCCTCTTCACCAAGTCACTTAAGGAGATCCTGAAGTCTCTGCTTGGTCATAGTGGGCAACAGGATCCCCCATTCCCTGCCCTGAAGAAAAGAACCTCTTAAAGAGAGCTGGAGATGCGGAGCATTGCTCCCTGAGGTTCAAAAAAAACTCACCTTGTTCCTTAAAACCATCAGTGTTAGACCCAGCATTGACTACTGTGGCATAAATCCGTTTGGCCATGGATTTCTTGGTTAACAAAACCACAACGACAGCTTCAGAGCGGCAATATCCATTTCCTAGGGACGAGGGAAGAATGAAATAAAAGCAGTGAGAATTGAAAGGCTCCAAATGGCACCAGACAGCAATGTACAAGTGCCATTGCCACCTTCCTGGAGAGCTGTAAGGAATACTAGACACGTCAAATGGAGCGAGAGATGAATTCAGTTACATTATTCTTCAGAGAATGAACGAGAGGCCTGTGGAATCGAACTGCTTTAGGAACAATTTCTCTTCTCTGGAGCACTTTGTCTTTCCCCGTGGTTTCAGCTTTGGGTTCTGCTGGGCACGCAGCCCGTGGAAGCTCCAGCACTTGGACAAAGTAAAGCCCCAGCCTTCATGCCCTTGCTCTCACTCTTTGTATGAAGAAGCAGCAGCACTGGATGCCTCCCACAGAATGTGACAACTTGGTACTAAACTCTCACCTGAAGCATCAAAGGCCTTGCAGGCACCGTCAGGGGAAAGCATCCCCAGCTTCATAAACTGCAAAGATGTGTTGGGTTTCAGCATGATGCTGGATCCTCCTACAAGAGCTGTATCACACTGTCCGTGTGAAATTGCTTTGTAAGCAATTTCCAGGGCAAGGAGGCTTGAGGAACATGCTGTGTCAACAGACATGCTGGGTCCTGAAGGAGCAAGGAGGAAAAAAAAAACCTAATAAGCAAACAAACAACAGCCAAGTCGCCAATCATTTTGCCCCATTGTCTGCCTAGAGCTGCCATCAGGCCTCTCCCTTTTCTGCTGCCACTGGGGGTTGTTGTGGAAGACCACACAGTGGAAGAAGAGGCAATAACAGTTTGGGACTGAGACACAGAAAGGGGGGACATTGCCCCCTCCACCTGCTAGGGCTAGGATCATGCACCTTGGCCAAGCCTGCCTCTTCCATCTTGGCTCCTGCTACAGATTGCCTTTCACTAAACACAGGGCATTCAGCCCCTCAAGGACTCCCATCCCTTATGCTGCAGTCCCCTGGCTCCTAACCTTCATCCTTGCCCAGAACTTACCGCTGCCACAGCCTCCTCTCCCAGGATTTGCCCAGGACCTTCCTGCTCAGCTGCTCTTCACAGGGTCCCCTCCTTCTCCACCTTCCAGCCCACACCAGCTCTTCCCATCAGCTTCACCCCATTTCCATCTCCTCTTCATCCCCTTCCCTCTGCCCAACCACCCGAGGCCATGAAGCCTCTCAGAAGTGCCACAATCCCCTACCCCAAAACCTGCCTGCATGTCAAGCCTGGTGACCCAGTCATGCCACGTTCTCCACTTCTCACCTGCCTCCTCCCCTGCGTTTATGCAGTGCCCTCCTATCGAGGATGGAGAAAGATCTCCCATCTCTATCCAAACACCCACCACCTCCTGGAGGTATTGCTGTCCCCGACCCCCGCAGTGCAGCTGACGAATGACACCCCAAGGCCCAGAACACTCACCTTTGAAGTCGTAGAAGTAGGACAATCTGTTGGCAAACATGGCACGCTGGCTGCCAATCATGCTGTACCCCACCATTGTCTCGGGGTCTTGGCTAAGCACTTCAGATGCTTCAGCCCCACTCATACCCATCCACACACCCACGTTTGAGCCACGAAGGGAGGCTGGATTGATACCTGAGAACAGATCACACACCAGGTGCAAACACTAAGTGAAGGATGAATGATTCATCTCATTTGGCACCAGAGATCTTGTAGCTGCTCCATAATTATGGAACCCATGTTTCTCTCCCTGCTCTTATTTACCAACACTTAATCCCCTGCCCTCCCCTTCCTGGAGAAGTATCATGAATTATCTCCTCAACAAGAATATTTCTCCCAAATCCCGAGCCTTACCGTCTCACACTGGAGCTTTTGTATAAGTTTCTGGCCAGACAGTAGCGTGCTTCTCCATTCAGTCCAGCACTTTGAGCATTGGTTAGAAACAGTGCAAGTTGCATTGGGCAAATACCAACCCAGTAGGTAAACTTGAATGCAGAAAAGGATGGGGGGTGGGGGTGGAACAGAGGACAGAAAAATGCAGTCCCTATGTCCCTCACTCTCAAGGCATGCAAGGAAGCATTGGAGGACTGAGACCCCAAACTCCTGCAACCAAGTTTCAGCTGTATCCATGCTGTGGAGTAGTCAAGTTAGAGCCCAAGTTAATAAAAAGGACCCCAGACTCTAGAGCGTGCAGAAACTGGTGTGAAAGGGGTGCAGCTCTCATGTGGTTGCAAAGACAGGTAGAGAAAACTAGAAGTGTGTGTGTGGCAGGGGGAATAGGCTACAAGTACTAAATCAGTGGCAAGGGAAATGGTCTTTAAGGTCTGAAGATGGGTGCCAGCATTTCAAAAGACATCTACACAGGTTCCACAGACCAAGGGAACCTCCAACAGATTCTTCTTCTGGAATCAGGGATGCAGAATCCAACTCCAAGCCATTTCTCTGGACTTGATAGGCAGCCAGAGCCAACTCATTAGATGGGATTCTGGAAGTCTATAGCAGACTTCTCATTTTACAAGTGCAAGACTCAGCTGAAGAACTTCACACAAGCATTAAATGTCCAGTTCTACGTATTGAGGGGCTTACCTCCATCCAGTATGGCTTCATAAGAGACCTCCAGAAGTATGCGGAGTTGAGGGTCCATTGCAACAACTTGTTTGGGCAGAGTCCCAAAAAAGGAAGCATCAAATTTGCTGAGGTCTTTCAGTTTCCCAGTTCTACTGGGTAGCCCATAAAGTCCTGAAGGGGGGAAAAAAATTCATCACAGAAAGCTTTAAGCACAAAACAATTATTAGGTAAGGGACTGTCATATAAGAAGATGTAAAAAAAAAAAAAAAAAAAAAAAAAAGGGGAACCCTGTCCACGCTGGGGTTTCCCTCC